TCTGCCCTGTTTCAAAGCCGGCTCCCTGCAATGCCCAGCCGGACAGAGGACAGTTTGTACCTCTGGCGTGACAGGTGCTGTGAAAAAGAAATGTGCAAATAAAAGAGCAAAATTGCGTTTAGGACTGCCTGGGATTTCAATGATCTTCACTGCTGCGACCCCTCTGGAAGCGCCCGGGTAAATTACTCCCAGGGTGTTCTGAGCGTGGCCTAGGCTGCATGGCAGACATTAAGCAGACCCAGTCTTGGCTGCCAGCCTCTGAATGCAGAGGGAGACCCGGCCGGAGGTACTTGACGACCACAGCCCTGCACAGCAAAGGAGGCGTGCGAGAGGAAACAGAGATTGTGTTGACAGGCCAGTGCTGCATTCCTCTTGCTGAGATGCCCTCGTCCCTGGGCGTGTGCCCTGTGTGTAACATCACACCTTCCTGCCTCCTGTTACAAAAGGGGGCTCAGTGGGGTGGAAGAAAGACCCTTCCATTTATAGAAGACAAGAGCAGTGTGTGGGGGGAGCTGGAGGGAGCAGGGCTCAGCGGGGGTGTATAGACCTTGACAGATCACTGCCAGCTCCAGAGCCAGCTGAAATGACAGGAAAAACTTCAGGGAACTTTGGATCAGGTCCTTTCTCCGTGCCAAAACATCTCCCTGCTACCCAGAGACTGTGACTCAGACATTGCTACTCAAACCTCGGTTGGCGCAAACTCTCAGGGACAAAACCACACTCGTAGCTGAAGGAAAGAAAATTACAGCCTAACAGGTGACAAGTGCAACTTACAAATGTGTGAGTAGAGGAGGCGATACGGAAAACTGCTCTGAAAATATAACTGCTGGACGGCATAGTGTACCAGTCATACGAATGGGGGTGATGATTAAAAATACATGGGTTGAACCTCTCTAGTCTGGTCCAGCAACTTCCGTGGTCCGGCATGATGTTAGTGAGCCAGATGTCTGCTTAGCATGGGTGTGGCCAAGTTTCCCACTGTCCCATAAAGTTTGTTGACAGCTGCTAGTCCTGGCTCTGAGTGTTCTGTGCTGTAATTTAGCTCTAAATTGCCCCTAAATCTTTTCTAAGAGCCCAGGAAGCAGTAGAAGTGTTGGTAATTCTGCTAGACAATATTGACCTCCCAGGGTTCAACAAATTCTCTGGTTTGGCCGGTCAGGTACTGATGGCGCTGGACCAGAGAGGTTCAACCTGTATTACCAAAGAAAGAAAGAGAGAGAACGAGAGAAAAAGAAACAGAGAGAGGAAGAAACAGAAAGAGAGAGAGAGAAAAAGAAAGAGAGAAAAAAAGAAAGAAACAAAGAGAGAAAGAGAAAGAGCGAGAGAGAAAGAAACAGAAAGAAAGAGAGAGAGAAAGAAAGAGAGAGAAAAAGAAAGAAACAAAGAGAGAAAGAAAAAGAGCGAGAGAGCGAGAGAGCGAGAGAGCGAAAGAAAGAAAGAAAGAAAGAAAGAAAGAAAGAAAGAAAGAAAGAAAGAAAGAAAGAAAGAAAGAAAGGTTCAGACTTTAGCAACTTCTGGACACTATAAGGAGTTTCTACCTCTTTCTTGGACCATGCCAGACCCCCAATGAGATTCCTGTCTTCTGGCACCCTGGAAGACGTCCTGTGTCTGAAGAGGGTGGGGCCACGACTCTGTCTTGTGCCTAGCCAGAAGCATAATCTCTACCTCTTCTAGGAGGGCCACGACATGTATTGCATGGGATATCCAGGACAAGCCTCTTCTGCGTCAGAATCACTCTTGTTGCCCGTGCAAGGGGGATGAAGAGCAGAGGTGTTCCTGTTCTAGTTCCCTTGTCAAACACTGTGAGGAAAGCGACGCTCCCTTGACAGATTTTTAGGCGTTTCCCAGGGAGGGAATATGCAGAGATCATCTGGCTTCTTCCCCATCTCCCCCCTCCCCCCCC